AGGAACTAGAGGAAAGTTGTATTTTTCATCGTTGCTACATCGCACCCTGCCTGGCTCGTCTCCTCCCCGAGACCCCTCTGCAAGGGGATCTCCAGCCACAGCTTATTTTAAATCATTCAGTATTTCCTATTTCTGTTCCAACAACTACCTCTGAGATAGAGAGAAAGCCTTCCCCTATATCTAGTACTCTGAATTTGGATTTCTGTTCTCCTAAACTGTGAGAGAAAATTTCTTTCTTTGTTTCCTTCTTACATTTTATCTATTATTGTTTTTAAATTTAATTGAACTGTTGACAGTTTTATTAGCACATCATCCACATCTCATACAATTCAATAATTTAATCATATCAAGAAGAGTTATATAATTGTCACCATATTGGATTATTTGACATTTTCTTCTTCCTTGTACTCCTTGTTATTTATGTACCATAGATACTCGAGTATAGCCAGCCCGAATATCAGCTGAGGCTCCTAATTTTACCACAAAAACAGCATTTAAAATGTGCTAAAAAACTCAGCTCATACATGAGTATATACGGTAATTTTTTTTCTAATTGTGGCAAACATATACACAACAGAACAGTCTCCAGTTCCACAACTTCTACTTGTATAATTGAGTGTCATTGATTATACTCATCATGTTGGGCAATCAAGAATACATTTCTGCTCAGTCCATCTACATGTGGGATTTAGGTTTCAGTGGGACTAGACAGCTATGGCCCTTTGGTTCCATCCTCTAAAATTGAGTTATTCCTTCTTCCTGTGATCGTAAATGTGCGTCTGGTCCTTGAAGTTGCTCCAGGGATTGTCCATTGTTTCTTTATTTGGACAGGACAGGAGATGGAACTTGTTTGTTGCCTGTGGAATTCCAAGAGGCAGACAGCAATTTTTCTTTTGTTCTTTTTCTGACCCCTTCAATCTAATCCAATGAGCCCTGGTGACATAGTGAGTTAGGCTTTGGGCTGATGACCAAACTGTCAGTGGTTCAAACCAACCAGCCACTCTATCCAAGAAAGATGATTTTTTTTCTCCAAAAAGATTTACAGTTTCAGAAATCCTAGAAGGCACTTCTACTCTATACAATATGGACTCTACGATTCAGAACCAACTGGAAGGCATTTGATTTGGCTTTGGGATCAGCCAAAGCTCTGGGTTTCTGCCATCATGGTAGTTCATTAGACTAATCAGTCACATTTCTAATCTGTTTTACACAAGGTTGTGTAGCCACATCCTTGGAAGTTCTGGTATTGTTCTTAGTTTGTGCAGTAGAATATTCCTAATGTTTAAATTTTTATGTTTCAAGTCCATGGCTTTGAACATATATGTACTGTAAGCTACCAGGAGAAACCATACACCCTTATAAGATCTTCCTTAGATATCTGCTCAACCAAATATCCCG